GGCATAATTTTAAACCCACTCCAACTTGGGTTGGGTTCTACTCCGGAGTGCTCCGGAGTAAGCTACTCCATTAACAACCCTACGCTATATCTGTATATGAGGAGCTTTTTTATTCTTATCTTTGATTATCAGTGATTATCATTTCATCAACCCAGTAAAAAAGCCTACAAAGAAAATGAAAAATGCTAAAGATCCTGTGAATAGATATTCAAATTTGAATCGGGTCACTGATATTATGTCTGAAATCATAGTTTTACTATTATTTGTTATAGCATTTATAGTTACACTTGTGCGTACAATTTTACTTTGAAAATACTAATATAAGGATTCTAAAACTTAATTGTGAAACAGATCACGAGAAAAGCGATAAATATATACTCACGGGTGGATCAAATCGTGCGCAGAATTTCCTGTATACAGAAGGTGCTACGTGTAAAGTTCTTGATATGAATTTATATTCCTGCTTGATCGCATATATCATCCAATAAAATGCAAGATTTTGAGGACATACACCACTTAATTTGCGATATGACCATACACTTTGTGAAATTTTCAATATCACTCCGTTTCTGGTACACTTATATCACTCCGTTCCTGGTATGCATTACAGTTAGACCTAAGTGCACACCTCTTTAAATGCACGCTCAGATTCTGGCCCAAATATATACTTGACCTCTATAAATGCACTTTTTCTTATTATTCTCTAAATGCATGTTGTTAAAGTGTGGTCCCAAAGGCGTGCACTTAGAGAGATCTGACTGTATTAGTCAAACCTTATACTTATATTTCTTAAAGTACTTCGGCCTCCACAATAAGTTTAGGAAAATTTAAAATATAGTGCACATTAGAGTTGGTCACCAAAACCTTTTTTGCAAACCCGAAAGTTTCGGGTTTCGAATTATAGTTTCCGAAGCCCAAACCTCTTCCGAAACTCGAAACTCAAAACTCAAAACTTAATGATTGAAAAAATTTAGAATGTTTATCAATTCAAAAAATTGTCAAACGATCAGGTGTTAGCAAGTCTTCTACAAGTCGGGTTTTCAAAGATATGAATGTATTGAAAAGCTTTCGTAACACTTTTTCGACAAACATTAAAATCGATTTTTTGGAATTTTGAGTTACATTTAAACTAGTTGACGGATTCTTGATCATATATCTAACCTTTTAATATTAGCATCTATTATGTGATATGTTTATTATAAAGTCTATATTGTATCCGGAGCCTTTTTTATATTTCTTGTCAAGGTTTATTTGTTGAGAAGAACAGCCTTTCCCATAAACTTTCGCATAAATTAAAAAATTATTCGACTAATTTTTTATTAGATGTTTCAGAATTCTGTGTTAGGGAAATAAGTAAAGTGCCGAGAAGTCAAACTGTCAAAATAAATTTCAAAATAATTATTTTTAAAAGTTTCGAATTATAATTTGGGTTTCGAATTATAGTTTCGGGTTTTTGGGTTTTGGGTTTCGGATTAGAGCTTTTCAAGATAGTTTTGGGTAGGTTTCGAGTACCAACTCTAGTAAATATAAAAAAACCTTTAGGAAAATGATAAGTATACAAAATATAGTTTCTTTTACTACAGCATTGCAATATCTTGCAATAATTAGTGCATGTAGAAGCCCATTGTCTATAATTCTGGTCAAATTGCAGATCATTTGACCCGATTTAAAAATTTAGGTCTGGCCAAATGCTTTGCCGGAATTATGAATAATAAGTTTTTCTCTATTTAGCAGATGATGGATGCTAAAAGCACCACTACTTTCTGTGCCAGATCATTGTGACGCAGTAAAAAATTTCAAAATTCGTTAATGTTAGGGTTATCGTTTAGATGAAGTTAGAGATTATGACAAAATTTTCTATAGATCATATAAAAACATATCATGATGGATATCATTGTCAAAGTCACTAAATTGCATTTTCTATATTGTTAATAGACAATTAATAGCAATTAATGCAATGATGCAGAATTGTAAAATCTTGTAAATTAATTTTAATGTTAACTATACTCAGAGCTACCTTAAAATAGGTATGGGTATGTTTGTTCTTTACTGGCTCAATGCCACAAAGACCCAGCGTAATATTGACTTTCAACAAAGTATTAATTAGTAATAAAAATTTTTTATATATTTAATACAAATGAACTCTATGAGTAAAAACATTTTTTTTAAATCAGCAAGTATATTCGCCATATTCTAAATATTTCTTATAAGTCTAACTTAATAGGCTCAACTCGATCTAACATTCTACATAAATCTCGTGCAATATAGTGCCATGAATTTTTATCTATTTGACTACCTATCTCCCATACACGGTGTCTTTTTCGTTTATATTCATTTTCGGTTATTGAAAGTAATATTTCATCAATAAGATGTGCTTCATCTCGACGAATAAAAACCACCATGCTAGAAAATAAAAATTAACGTCAATACATTTCATTTACAGTATAAAATATGAAAATAAAGGATACCTCTTCCAATCAATGTCATTTTCAAAAGGTAATACGATTCCATCAGCGATTATAACGGGCACAACTCCAAAGGCTAAATATTCCCAAAGCCTAGTAGTGTCCAAAGTCCATCCTTGAGGTGCGAGTCCAAACTTTGTTCTCGCTAATAACCTGGCATAGTCTTCGTGTGTATGATTTTCCTCTTCATCAATCTTATATCTTGGAGATTTTGCCAATCCACTAAACAATATCGATCTAATACCAAGAGAATATTCATCGTCCGGTTTAACGTTCCGACAACAACCCCTGAACGTTGCAAAAATGTCTCTATTATTCTTATTTCCATCATCATCTACATAATCTCTTGGATTAATTTTTGCTGCATTCAAAATCCTAGTAGCTGAAGGAATCACAATATCTCTCATACGTCGATATCTATGTTCCATAAAACCAGAAATTCTTTTATCGCCAACTATAGTTAAGAAACTGGCATTCAGCATCAAATTTTGACTTTTCGGATAATAAAGTGAACCTCGATCCATAGGATGAACCATGATATGATCCCTTCCGTTAGTTTTATTCCAATATGGATGTTCCTGCATTATCCAATTCATTAAAGGAATCAAATATTTTTCTTCCACTTCACATCGTTTGGTATAATCCCAATTATTGGTATTCCAACAATTCATCAGATAACAAGAACCAAAAAATGGTATGAAAAAAAAATCTGCATCTTCAGGATTAGAAGTTACATATAAATCTTTAATTTTTCCAGAGTTTATAAGCTGTTCGTAAAATGTCACTTCAACATTGTAATTCGATCCTTTACATATTTCATGTCCATAATAACTCTGAGATTTCAAGTTTTCTGGAATTTTATAAACATATATTTTTGGTAAGCAAGGTGCATTTATTATATTAGATGGCCATTGAGAGATTGGCCATCGTGAAATTGGTGATGGTGAAGGAAGTGGTGGTAGTGTTATTAAATCGTCTTTGTATTCATTTGACGATAGGGGTGAAAAACATATTAGTATAAAGTTTAGAAGAAAGATTGCGGAAAATATATAAATTATTGTTCGAGTCCTTCCCCATTTATTAAACATGAAAAATTTAGTCATTTTTAGTTTTTTTGGTTTAAAGAATCGACGTAAATTTCGATTTACGTTACAAATTAATTATTTAACTAAATTATTGGGGTGTGTGACGCAAGTCTAATTACAAACATAGTGCAGGTGTATAGTGGATATTCATGCACTGTGTAATAGACTTGCATCATACACCCCCAGTTAATTATCACCCAAAAAATTCCAAAATCACATGATACGCAAATAACGATAAATCGTACGTACAGTACGTATGATAATTGATAACAGTATTGCTATCATTGTTTGATTATCTATCTTTTTCGGTTTAATTTAATAATATGAATGTTAATTACGATTATCAAGACCAATCGTTTAAACCATGCGAACAGTCCTATGATGTTATAATAATTGGCAGCGGTATAGCTGGTTCATCTTTTGCAATAAGGATGTCTCAGTTATTTGATTCTGTTTCAACGTTTAAAAAAATCCTAATTATCGAAGAAAAACCCAAGAATCTTAAAACATTTAAAGTTGGTGAATCGTTACCTGGTGAGGCCAAACCCGTGCTTCATTCGTTAGGCGTTCTTGAAAAAGTAAATAATGACACTATTCAAGGTATTTTTCTTAGTAATAGCAAATTAATGAAATGAAATTTCAATTCTCAATCAATATTCATATACTTTCATATCTTGCGCATTATGCCTTACTTCTCGCTTTAAGGAAAGCATCTCTTTTGCTATGGCAACAATTCTGTATGGGGATCTGATAATTTAAACGCTACAGACTCAATATTTAATCCATATGGAAATGGGTTCCATTTGGATCGATTATTATTTGAGGAAACTTTATTGAAAACTATAGAATCGCGATATGAACACGTTGTCAAAGTTATTCATGGGTTTAGTGTTACTAGGAGTGATTTCGCAGAAGATAAAAAATTTTGGGAAATTACAATTTCGAAGTATTCAAGTCTGAACGATGATGGTAACAAATTATTTATGGTTAGCATTTAGCAAAATTTACAGCATTTTATAAATTTATATGTTACTAATCTATGCTTTATAGGATGCGAGATGCAAAAAAAAGTTTATGGAAAAATTTTAGTTGATGCAAGTGGTCGCCGTTGTTGCATTAGGAAATATATACCATCTTTAAAACGTCAGTCGTTTGATAAATTACTAGCTTTTGCCTGCCTATTTGAATCTGCCCATTTAAATGGATTGAAGGACAATGATTGTCACACTTTAATAGAATCTTGTTACTATGGCTGGATTCAAACAAGTCGACTTCCCAACAATCAACGTATTGTTATTTTTTTTACAGATGATGATTTGGTCAAACAACTTCCTCGGAAAATAAGAGCGGTTGATGAATTTGTTGAGTTCTTGAGAGAGAACTCGTTTAATCTTAATAAAATTTTGAAAGAGTTTGACTATGCACCGATTAAAAATAGGGTTATGTGTATGGCCGCAAATTCCGAAATGCTTTCAGAATTTGGTTAGTATGTTGAAAATAATTGTAATATGTAAATTTGATACATCATCTCATCATGTTTCTTAAATTTTTTTTTGGTTAGCATCAATCAAAAACCAGTGGATTGCGATTGGTGATAGTGCAATCTCATTTGATCCACTTTCATCTCAGGGAATTCTAACAGCTCTATATAACTCAAAGTTTGGCGCTGAAGCTACATTTTTTCAATTCTTTTATGAGAAAAGACCAAAAGAATCAGGAAGCAAGAGCAACAAGAATATTGATGATAATATTAAACCACTTGATATTTACATACATAAACTTACCCAAGTATTAAATAACTACAAAGAAGAAAAAAATTACTTTTACAATAAGGAACAAAGATGGGCCGATAGTTTGTTTTGGAAACGAAGGCATTTTGAATAAGGTCTACAAAGGTTTACTGATATATTTTCTAGTTTATTCAAATTATTATTATTATGCGAAATACATAACGATAGTAAATAAATGCTGAACCTTATTATTTCTATTTTATTTTGAGTTCCCATTTTTTTGACGCATTTGCTGTTGAGCAAAAGTATCAACAGTGTCTTGACTTCGTCATCCTGATGTATTATTTAATGTATAGATATTCATAAATGATATTTAAAAAATAATAATTTTAAGTCTGAATTTACAATATACCGTATTTACGCGAAATAACGCACAACTGCGCGTTATTTTGAGTACGCGCATGGGCGTTATTTCGAAGTAAAGGATACACCCCAATCACTGATGGCAAATATCAAGGTGATTTATTAACATTAGTATATGGGGTGTGCGTTATTTCGGGACGCAACGCACATGTGCGTTATTTTGAAACCAACTATGCTATTTTAAGGAAATGCGATTTTCAAAATAACGCCCATGTGCGTTATTTCGCGTAAATACCGCTCGATCTGGAAATTATTCGACGAACTTAGCCCTTGAAAAATTCGGTTCCGTTCATTTCACCGATAATCAGTTCACCGACAGTACGATTCACCGACATTCAATTCACTGACAAGTTCATTTCATTTCACCAACAAAGTAATTCGTTAGGGTCAGGCTAGAATTAGAGTTAAGGTTAGTGGCGAAATAAACTTCTCGTGAATTGATTTTCGGTGAAATGAATCGGATCAGTAATTCGTCAGTGATGACAGTCTTCTAGTTGTTTTGATACGTGTCTTTATTACACAATTAGCATTAATATTTACTTCTTTTTGTACTAGAAGAATGGCATCACTGAGATGATTTTCCAGGGGCTAAATTCACCGAATAATAATAAATTATAATTTCCAGATCGAGGTTTTCCATTGGCGGCACTTATATATATTGACAATTTTTTAAAAAATAATTATTCACATATGGTTGACAACGCCTCATATCATCTAAAAATTAGTCAAAATTTTGCAAAACGTAATAAACGTGTATTATTATAATAAAAAGGAAAGCAGCAGAATACTTTTAATTATTTAAAAAATAACGGCACAATATACCGTTAATTAAACCTCTCTTTAATTTCTATATTTAACTGTTAAAATTAAAAATTTTTTTACTTTGGCAGCCTTGCCTTTCTTAAGGCAACCTTTCTTTACGTGAACAAAAAACTTTTAGGCTATTCCCATGCGTAAAACCCATATGACTACCTCATTTTACCAATATTCATCGAACTATAATCTGAGCTCCAACAATCATATGCAATCATAATACTGCAATATTACTCAAAAATACTTGCATCCAATAAGAAACTTTCACAAGCCAGACGATAAATTGAACATGTGACCCATCCAGAAGGGAAAATTAATTGTAATACAATTAAATTGCAATTTTTGCTTTTATCATAAATATAAAGTTTTCGACTTTAAAGTACTCTATTTTAAAACCAAAAAAAATTTACGATCACATCTGCCGATACAAAAAAAGTCTATATAAAGAATTAGAGTGTTATTTCGATATGTGCTTCGAAAAAAAATGTAAATTGTGTGTGGTCAATAAATAAAAAGAAATGATTTGATAGCTTGACCTTATAATTACGTATAAGGTTATTTTTTTTAAACTACAATTTCTGACGTCTATTATCACTGCAGCAGATCATTTTCTGAATCCCGTGAAACTAGAGATGGGCAGATTTTTGAACGTATTGTTACTTATTATTATTAAATATTATCGTTATATAGTTATTGCATGCAATAACTGCTGTATTTTATGGGCGATGATGATTGGTTGGTATAGAGGTGCGATCCGACTATCCGAATCCTATCTGACCCAGATTTGACCCCTGAAAAGATAACCGATATCCGAGACCA